CAGCTCAACCTGGAGCTGGGCTGCCGTGAGTTGCCAGCGGAGGCGTAGGCTGCAGCCCCTGTGGCAGTGGGTTGCCATGGGCTACCGTGTGTGGCCGGCAGTCAGCGTGAGCAGCCAGCAGCCGCCGTGAGCAGCCATCCAGAAGCCGGCGACTGATCTGCCTCGCTCGGGAAGAGCGCAATAATGGTGCCACCTTGGGCCAGTGAAACGTCCTCCACAACTAGACTGAAGAACAAAAAGACAGCAACTTGTCTGTTCCCCTTCCCCCAATTCCCCAGCGCTGTTTCCATCCCTCCAATTCCCCAATAAAAATCTTTAAAAAAAAAGCTTAATGAAAGTTCTGCCTGCAAGAGTCTCTTCTTGAGTAGGAGCCTACCATTTATTTCCCTACATATAATTTAGCCATACATGTAGCAATATTCATATCACATTTTTCTATGTAAGATCCTAGGACCTACCTAGATTCTAAGTATATAGCTGTGGGCAAATTAGTTAATTTCCTTGAGCCTCACTTTCCTCAATTATAAAATGAGATAGTTGTATTAAAGAAATTTGTGGTTTCAACAAACCTATCTACTGCTACCAACTAGGTAAAACTAGTTAGCAGCCAACATTTTTAAGAAACGTATTTACTTTCAAGTCACTAGGTTCATAGATTATTTATTTTAGGACCAAATTTCTATTCATAAAATTATCAGATTGAGGCTATTTCCAAAATTAGCCCTTTGAGAAAAGTCCAAATATTTCTTGGTATCATTAGTACACAGTGGCATCAATTTGGCTTCCTAGGAGTAAAAAATGTACATCATCATTGCAAAAGTAACAGAAGTGACAATATCGTGGTGCCTGTTTTATAGGAATATATATGTGTGGGGAGAGATGGTATTTGATCATCAGTAATTCCATAAATAGCTGTTCTCCTAAAAATTTTGCTAGAATTTAACTTAGTGAACTGAATTGAGAAATGAGTAATTAAGAATATTTGTTTACCTTCTATGCCAAGAACATTTTTCACCTTATTTTCTTCTGAAACTTCAAATTTCCTTATAATGTCAAGACAGTAATCTGTTGTCACATTACTCATCTAAAAAAAAAAAAGAACATTAATAGAATACCTGAAATCTGAAATTTCATGAGATGTTTCTCTACACTAAAAAAAAGCCTACTGATTTTTTAAACCATTCTTGGTATACTACAAAGTGGTTAAGTAAACCAGTGTTTGAGGTTACTAGTGTCACAGCCACTTTATCTTTGGGAAATGATTGTGATCAATCTTCCTTGCATCTTTCAGATTTAATCAGTGAAAAAAGTCCTTCAACTATTAAACAAATGTCCTCCATGAAGCAATAAAATTAATAAAATCAATAATCAATACAAATGCATTGCCCAAAATCCACTCACTATAAGCCAGTAGCCACTGCAAAATTAGTGTTTTCTATACAAACACTGAAGTTTGCTAATAATACATATATGCTGAAAGAAAATGATTCTCTGCCAAAACAGGATGTTCTAGGTAAACCCACCTGTGCATGTGTGTTAACTATAGATCCTGCCACTGAATCATGAGAGCAGCCTGCCATGCTGATTCAGGAACAGAAATGTTTGTAAGAAAAAATAAAAACAAACAGCTAGGTGAGGCAGCTATAATAGCATAACAGAGAATGCGAGCTGGACCACTGGTGTTCAAATCAGTTAGGTCACATCACTGACAGTGTGATCTTAAATGAGTCACTTACCTTCTCTGTGGCCACCTTCTCAGGCAGCTGTGAGGGTTAAATGAATTAATATTTACAAGAACAAAGTGTGGCATCAAAAGGCAGGACGTGCTATAACTACTGAGTCAACCTCAAGGCTGCTGCATGAACATCCCATACTTAGCGGGAAAAGTAAACTCTTCAGAAATAATTTCTTTAATTAAACAAAGGATGTGATATTTTGATCAAAAATCCATTGAGCCACACCATTGAACAGTGACCTTTAAAAATACTAATGCATATAGAGGAAGTTCATCTTGTGAGCTCGATACGTATGTTTTAGTAAAATCGAATTTTTCTCAACAGTCTATTTTAATAGCATTTAAGCTTTTTGCAGGGTGGGGAAAGCTGTTAAGCAGCTATTTTTTGCCTCTCTGAAGGAGCACAGAATGCTTTTTCACCCTCTACCCAAAACGAGCCACATAATGGCTAAATTTTTTGAGTAAAAGTTATAATTCTTACTTTATTCAGAAGCCTACATTACCAGACACCACCTGAAAATGCCATAAATAAATGAAACCACATTATCTGTGAGGAACTCTACTGACCCAGTCAAGCTTTGCACAGCTCATTAATTTGTCTGCTATAAGCTAGGAGATTTATTTATCACATGCAATCTAAAAGGCAAATAATTTCACACAGAATAAAAAAACCAAACTGATAAAATAAAAAATTACATGTGCCATAGGAATACTGAGTCTACATTGCAGTTATTTGGTTTATGAGGCCATTTGTTTAGAAATGTAGGAGCCATGCACTAGACTCAGGTAGTCTACTAGGAGCCCATGAGACCTAAACAAACAAACAAACAACAAGAAACTCATCCTGGGATGGAGCTAATTGTAGATGAGTGAGAACACGTCACTAGTTCAAGATACAAGCAGAATGTGCTAACAAAAATATCATATTTGAAAAGTATTAATTAGAGCAGCGCATTGGTTAAGAACTGGCTTGGGACTCCAGAGGGCCCCGGTTCGGATCCCACATATGAGGGCCAGTGACACTGCCCTCNTGGTGGCACTGTTCATTCCTTCCCGCTCTCCTTCATTCCTCACATCCCTTACTTCTTTTACCAGGTCCTGTTGAGCTTACTTCTTTAAAACCTGTTTAATCATCTAATTTAGTCCAAGCTTTTATCATCTTTCCTTTGAATCACTGCAGTAGCCTTCCCTGCTCCTTGCTGTAACTTCTTCTCCCTTTCCTCCTCCAAATACTTATTTAAAATAAAATTTCCTCCTACACTGCTGCCCAAGTGATCTTCCTAAACAGCACGTGTGATCATATCATTATAGGTATTAAAACCCTTCATGGGACCCTTGTTACCAAAAGCTAAAGTTAAAATTCCTCACTACAGCCCTCAAAACCCTTTATGACTGACCCAATTCTACCTCCCCAGCCCACCTGATATGTCATCGCATTTTACTTCACGCCTTACTATTGGTATCACTTCTCTACCACATATACAATTCAACTGGAGGAATTCTCACACTGAGAATTCTATTTATAATTTTCACCCTTCAACTAGACTCTGAGCTCCTTGGAGACAGAAACCATGTCTTACATCTCTCTGTATCTTCACCCCCAGGAACCCAATGGAAATTTAATAATTGGTTGGCTGATTGACAGACCATAAAGTATTGTGAAAACAGCTATCCTGAACTATTTTTTGCTACTAGTTAATCAAAAGTACCTTTCTAGGAAAACTTTCATTTTCATCACAATTTTTCGGCAACCAAAGGAGCGCTTCCCAACTGCAAGCACATAGCTCTCTCCCTCCTGACTCAACAGTAAAGAGGAGCCAAAGAGGATTATGAGTTAAGGACGACTTTACAGTGAGCAGGGACATGATTCTGACGAGTGTGAGTGCACTTGTTAGGGCCCCATTGTTTATACCAGACTTGACTAACTGACTAAAGGACATGTTCGCCAACTGAAGCGGAGCTCAGACGAAGCACGTACCTTCCACGCAGCGGCAGCCCTCTTGGAGCACCCGAGCGTACATGTCCACCTTGGACTGAGAAAGAAGCTGGTCCCCAGTCAGGTATGTATTGTGGGAGGAAGCGATGTAGTAGTTGCACAGGGGCTGGTCCATGTCCTGGTACACGTCATGGTGCAGTGGGTTAAATATGTCACAGGCAGGACTGCGCATGAAGTTTGTGAAGCCTTTGGAAGAGAGAGAGAGTCAAGTAATGTAGCTTTAAAGTGATGTACTTATTTGACTGTCACCGGGACAAAAGACATCAAAGTATGTTCATAGTGATTATGTTACCATATTTTACCGTATATAATGCGCACTTTTTTGCCCAAATTTGAGGGAAAAATGAGAATGTGCATTATACATGGGTAGTACTAATTCCATACCTATATAAATGTTTTTAATTCTTTTATTTATGCTTGAGTTAAAAGTGTAACTCTAGAAACCAATAACGAGATCCATATGCAAAATAATACCCTGGAATATGATAATAGGTTTTGTTGAACATATGACAAACTTGCAATGACGATGAAGAGTTCTTGGCCTTCTATTATATGATGCGTAAATATCATAAATTTGTTACCGGTACACAAAATTTCTTGTACCTTGTATCTGTTTTTGTATTTTGTAATTATTTGTTACATAAAATTCCTTGTACCATATGTTTTTTTTAAATGCTGAAACTTCTTTGTAATACAAAAAAACAAGTACTTAAATGTAAATAAATAAAAATTTAAATTAAAAAATTAAAACAGAAGATTTTTTTTCCTGAAAGTTTGGACCAAAAACGAGTGTGCTCATTACACATGGCAAAATACAGTAGTTCCCATCAGGACAGCTTTGGCAGGGAACACTGGGGCCATGTCAGATGCGCTTCAGGTCAACGAGACAGTGTCAAAAGCTTAAATAGGATTTTGGGAGTAGCAGTTTAAACACAACCTACAGAAAAACAGACTTTAAGAATTTTGATTAAGGGAGAGAGCTTCCTGCAAAGCCATTCGGTAACTACTGAGTGCAAGCTATGGTTATGCAGTGTGACCTCATCGGTGACTGAAGTAGTGTTAAAGCATTATTTATTCTAAGTAGTACAATGATCAACCAACAACTTTATAGGTTATTAAGTTGATTTGAAAAAATAACATTGTTAGTGTCATAGCTGACATAGCACGTTAAAGGGTAGGCACAGCCAGAATTCAGGGTGTGAGTATTTGACTATGAAACGGGTTTGGGAAGATGCTGCTAATGGCTTGCCCGTTTTACAACTGTGAAACAGTGTACTAAACCTTGTCAGCTTTTCTACAGATTTTCAAAACATAATACCTGGGTAGAAGAGGCATTCATTAATATATGAATAAATACACGAATGACCCACAAGTACCTAAGTGGCATGGTTATTAGGGTAAATAATTTCAAGTCTTCAAGAATCATGTGGTACAACAGTATCTATAAACATCCTCTGAGACTCTAGAGAATTTCTTCATGCCCTTCTTTATGGCTATAACTTAGAAATCATGTTTAATTCCATCTTTTAGGGCTGCAACAAGGAAAAGACTCATTCCTTAGTTAAAAAAAAAAGTCCAGAATGGTTTATTTTCTCTGGCTGTTTTAAAATGATTTTTGATAATATGAATTTAAATTATTCCTTTTTATGTTAATAACCTTCCACCTCAGGAAGTAAACACATGGTATCAAAACCTCCGTGCCCACACTGAGCCTGGGAGCAGAGGGAATAGGAGGCCAACCACCAAAAATGATGAGATAAACCATGGCTTTGGATGCTCTTGAGGGCATCAGGGTGCCCCAACAATCTTTCATTAAGAATAGCTTAATGAGGGCCGGCCGAGTGGCGATGGTTAAGAACTGGCTTGGGATGCCAGAGGGCCCCGGTTCGGATCCCACATATGAGGGCCAGTGACACTGCCCTCTACAGCTAAGATGCTGAACA